CTATACCTTCAGTAACAGGCTGGGAAAGATGACTTCCTTTGTCCATCTTAAAATCAAGATAAACAGTTGGAGTTAATGTACGCACAGGAGACTAAAAAAAAAGAACAAAAAAATTCACAATGCTATAGATATTGATACTGACACTGATATTGAAATCTTACACTAGCTCCAAGTGAATCTCCAGCAATTACTGTTACATGAACTCCATCTTTACTGACAGATGGTATGTCTTTATTTAATAATTCTTGATAGCGTGGCTCAACCATCTAGAGAGACAGAAAGGATAAACAATGCATACACACACACACACTGGATGACTTTACTTTATCTTTCTTCTTTAAATTTATCCACAGTTGTAGTCCCACATTATCTCCATCACCAGCTGGCATTTCAGAATGCACTATACCCCGACCAGCAGTCATCCACTAAACAATGGAAGACATTTATAGGATGATAAAATTAATACTCACAAACCTGTAGATCTCCTGGATTTATGGTTCCTTTGTGTCCACAAAAGTCTTCATGCATGAATGATCCTTGCAGCATGTATGTGACCTAAGAAAAGTCTTTAATATTCTTAACCCTCTTTTCCTCAATTTTTTCATCTCTTCTCTTTTCCTTCCTCACTCTTGTCTCTCATTACAGTTACCGTTTCAAAGCCACGGTGAGGGTGATCGGGAAAACCAGCTGGTTTGCATACTTTGAATTCATCCAATAAAAGAAAAGGATCCAGTGATCGTAACTAAAAACAAATACCATACAAGATGACCATAGGCGGCTGCAGGGTCGGGCATTTAGGGGCAATGCCCGACCAAAAATTCTGACCGGAAGTGTGACATCACCATAATTAATAGTTATTCTATGGTTAATTAATAGTTAATAACAGTTATTGCAATTATAATTTCAATTTTTTATGAAAATCTTATAATTATGAATGCATAAATGGCAGGCTGATAACAAGGTGATGAAGAGAGACTAAATAAAGGAGGAGCTCGAGGTGGTAAGACTTTGGTGCCAATCACAGTGGGCCACCACAGCAACACTAGAAAGCATAATCATTTCATTATTTAGTGCTATTTCAGTGTTCTTTTCTTGTCAGTTGCAATGTCTAAAAGCCTGGACTAGCTTCACTATGTCCTTTGTGAACAAGCCTGCTAAAAAGGAACAACAGTTTACAAAGTGAAC